AGAGTTCGATACCTATGTATCATTAGAGGAAGTTCCACAGTATCTTGCGTACTGATCCCAATCTAAGTTTGATGTGAATTCAGTCAGTACATGTAAATGAATAATTAGATGGTTTTATATAAATATAAATCTATAATATATATTATAAATCACCTCTTCCAAGAAGGATGCATAAGGGGAATTTGCAGGATAATTGCTATTCAAACGTATGTTTATGCCCAAAGTTAGTACATAGACACTCGCCCACATTGCAGAACGTCTCAAGGATGCACCAGTAATTTGTTCTCGCCCACCCTTAGGTATCACTGGTAGTATTTGACAGAAATCTCCGCCAAGCACGATCGTGATACTGTCGAATGGTCGGGTATCATCACAAACATTGCAGAGCGTGGGATCAACAGCCTCAACACCATGTCGATGCTGCATGGGAACCTCATCCCACATTATTAAGCAAGCCTCCCTGAATAATTCCCCATGCGGTGACGGTTTGCTGAAACCACATACTAAGCTTTCTATGATATCGAATGGAATGCAGAATGTAAAATGAGCTATCGAATGGTGTTGTACAAAAAAGGTTTTGCCTGTTCCTGCACCTCTATTGAGGAAAAATATTTTGCCCTGATTCTCAGCAACGAAGATAGTGATAGCATCGTAAGTCGTACATTGAGCATCATTTAAAACATTAATATTCAAAAGGACATTCAGTTGATTTTCTTCGTTTCTTAGTTGCATGTGATCGACAATCTATTACTTGAAACATAACTCCAATTTTCAACGGGGTGTGGCATGGGTGGGTAGTTATCCAAATTTTTGCTAGATTCATGTAGCAACTGATCAATTAGATATAAACCATAATCCTCAATTGGAGGCTGCGTTGGATCGCAAATGCCAAAAGTTGTTTGTAGCTTGTGATGCAGATCATCACATATATGGAAGGAGAATTGATTCCACAAAGTACATGGCTGTATTGGGGAGCATTCTATAAGAATAATACAGAATAGTCTCCGTAACTGGTATCCCGTATTCATAGTTGAAGCCTTTTGGAGGTATTGTACCCACTCTGCATCATCTTCCAGGAGTCCCATAGCTATACACGTTGATTTGAAACTATCATAAATCACACCATTGATCGTGCGTAGACCATCAAAATACTGCGGTCATCTAACAACTATTAATAGCAACCAAAGGTAAAACCGTTCCCCATAATTGGGCATAGCAAAGTATAATCTGTCAATTGCAAACCCCGCTTTGCCTCGGAGTCCAAATTTTTTGAAATTTATTCCAAACAAAATTTTGGGGAAATTCCTGGTATGTGTAGGCACATGCAACATCATTTGAAGAACAATAGTCAAAGAATCCAGTCAGAGTTGTGTTTTGACTCCTAAACCCAAGCCTAATTGTTTCAAGTGTTTTAGTAGGATCGTAAATAACTTGATGCATCCTAGGTAAATGTAGATCTAGCCGTAAAACTGAAGGAATTTCTTCATGGAGAGGATAACTGAAGAGCCGCCATACAGCCTCTGTCGGTCCAATATACCTTGCATCAAGGTATTGTTTTATCTCATTATTTTCATCTGGTCCCTCTAAAACCATAGTTGTGCTGTCATGACATTTGTAAATGTACTGGTGGATATATTTGACACACCTCATTCCTGCACACGCCTCCACGTTTATATGACAGTTGAACTTTCTTGACAGGTGTGGATTGTAAGGTACGACGTCTTGATTATCAAATGTATGCCCTCTAGTGGTGTAAGACTGACCATTACAACAATGACGGTAAACAAGATACCCACTTTCATCCATAGTAGTCGAATCTGCAAAGGCTTTTGGATAATGGAACCGATATGCACCGTTCACCATGCAAGTTGAATGTGGATTTCAGGAATCACACGG